GTCCGCCTGCCGATGCAGGGGACGCGGGTTCGTGCCCCGGTCCGGGAAGATCCCACATGCCGCGGAGCGGCTGTGCCCGTGAGCCATGGCCGCTGAGCTTGTGCGTCCGGAGCCTGTGCTCCGCAACGGGAGAGGCCACAGCAGTAAGAGGCCCGCGTACCGCAAAATAAATAAATAAATAAATAGATAGATAAAAGAGTTTATAATCTTCCAGTGTTTTCATTGTGAACACATTTATGGTACTGTTTTCCTCATTTAAATCTTTATTCCTTGTTTTGGCATAAGGTGAAGGGCATTCCATCTAGATGACCTGAGGAGTTTTGACTGTGAGGATGTGTTCTCTTTTTATTAGTGGTGTCTGGGTTACATACAGCACCTGCATTTCCTATTAGTTTCTCTTCTACAGTGACATTGTGGAGGAACCTGCTTCGTGGCAGTGGGCAGCAGGGAGTCCTGATGGCAGAAGTGTAGTTGGACATGGGAAGGTTTTAAGTTATGAGATTACTGGCTGTTACAGATGACCAGGTCAAGGCTGGGCAAGTTGCCAGAGAGTAGGGTTTGAGGTGGTAGTGAAGACCATATAAAAAGCAGTCTCAGCACAGTCGAAGCTCCAAGATGAGCATCCACAGAGGCAAGTTTAGTATATGGAGTGCTCCGAGTGAGCCCTGGAATTCCTGAAAGTTGGGAGCTGTTTGTGGCGTTTTCTGCAGAGGCAGCTGCAGAGTCTGTGGTTGGCTCTGTTCTCAGAGTTCAGAAGGGGACTCCAGTGAATTTAGTGCAGTGGTTCTCTACCCTGGCTTTTCATTAGAGGCTACTGGGAAGATTCTTACTTCACCAGTCTGAGGGTGGACCCCAGCAACAGCATTTTGAAAACTCCTCAGATGATTCAGATGTGCAGCTAGGGCTGAGAACCACTGTTTAATGCAGTCAGTTTGCTGTCCCGCAGGGATTGCAGTGCTCCCTGCCTCAGTGCTTCCAAATGTGCACACAAATCATCTGGGATCCTGTTAAATACAGATTCCAATTCAGAAGGTCTGAAGTGGGACTTGGGATTCTACATGTCTAACAAGCTCCCAGGTGACCCTGAGGCTGCTGGTCCCCAGACCACACTTTGAGTGGCTTGAGCTTTTTATTCCATGTGCAGAGCCTGGCGTATACCAGTCCGCGAGCATCAGTAAAGATCTTTCTGCCATGATCCTGCTCTCTGGCAGAACTTGCTTAGTGTAGTAGAAAGAACACAGGCCAAGAGGCTTGCCTTCTACTTCTAGCTCTGCCCCTAATTAGCTGTAAGACAAGTCTCTTAAAAGTGCTTCAGTCCTTCACCTTCTTATCGCTAAAGCAGGAGGGTTGAACTGGGTAAGCTGTAAGGTTCCTTTTGTTCCACCTCCTCCCATGCAGGTCTGGGGTGTTTTCAGACTCTGTGGGGATGAGGTTTTTATGTGGAGGTCAGTCTAGATTCTACAGTAAGGACCCTGGCTTCCCTTTGCAGGCTTTCTTTCTCTAGGGATGGGGCCTAGGCCCTGATCTTAGGATCAACTGGAGGAAGTAAAACTAATCAATGTTAAAAAATTAAAGGAGGTTAATGTTAAATTGTACAAAAAGAATGCAGGGAAGCTAGAGCGGAACGTCCACTGGAATTTTCAGGGGGAGGTTTGAGTTCAACTTTGTTTACTGGCCTTGATTGACGGTAGTGCCAGTTCAGAGGGCAGTTTTCATACCTTTATGTTTGTTGTCTCTAAAAAAGCATCTTTCAACAGCGAAGAATAAAACATTTTCTGCCTTAAATTAAAATGATGTGGGAGAAAGGCCTACTTATGTGGAAGTAAATGTTTGAAATGCTATAAAACTCTCCTTTTTCTATATTTAATTTTTCAAGGCTAATCTTGACTATTAAGAGATTGATACTGAAAAGAAAATCACCATGACCAAATATAGGCTGAGTCAAAAACTCTTTTGCACCTCCCTAGAGACACTAATAAATAGTATCAGAAATTGCCTAAAACAGAGATTTAAATTGCTTAAATTATAAATAATACTGAAAATAATGTCTCTATCTTAAAAGATACCAGATAATTTATTTAGATTTTATAACATAGGTATACAGGAATTTCTGACTCACCTCTTTGATGTCAAAGGAGGTGTATTTTGCATTGTAATTAGAGTTTTACTAAATTGTAGCTTCCCTTAGGAAGAGGTTGTATGACCAGCACTCAGGTATAGAAAATATGAAATACAACATTTATCCTCATTTGATGAATTATACTCAGTACACACAGTTTAGCTCTGACTTTTCTCTGAATATCCTATGATTTGTTTTCTCTGTTGCTAGATTATTTTTATTAAAAAAAATTTTTTTTTTGCGGTACGTGGGCCTCTCACTGTTGTGGCCTCTCCTGTTGCGGAGCACAGGCTGCGGACGCGCAGGTTCACGGGCCCAGCCGCTCCGCGGCATGTGGGATCTTCCCGGACTGGGGCACGAACCCGCATCCCCTGCATTGGCAGGAAGACTCTCAACCACTGCGCCACCAGGGAAGCCCTGAAAACATCTTTATTAATAGATGATACAAATATTATAAAATCAAAAATAGTCTATAAACAAACTTAGCAAAGTTGCTGGCTACAAAGTCGCTAGATTATTTTTAAATTGCAGACTGTGAGTACTTTTTCTCAGAAACACATACTATTATGGTTTTATTGTATTTGGTAAATCTTTTATATAATCAGGTATTGATTATCATAATGAGAGTGATAATACAATACAGTAGAAAGTCTCGTTTTAAACTACCAAATGCAATATAGGTCACTTTATAAAAAGATTATTTTGGCTACAAGTGACAGAAAATCCAACTTAAGTTGGGTGAAGCAAAGAAGGGACTTTTGGGGTCCATGTAATTGAAAAATTTGAGGGTAGAGCTAGCTTCAGGTGTGATTGGTATAAATAGTGTAATCAGGATCTGGTCTCTGCATATTATGGCCTTGCTTTCCTCTACATTGGCTTTATCCTCAGGCTCCATTTAATCACATGAGGGCTGCCAACACTGCCAGGGTTTTATCTTTCTGGTTCAAATCTAGTAGAAAAGAGAATAGCTTTCACTAGAATTTAAAACAATAATTCCATCTACAAAATGTAGAACTTTAGTGAAATAATAAAAGATGATAGTATTCGATGCCTAATAGCTTACTTTACAGGCAGGAAGGATATTCAAAATATTTAACAACCTATGGTAGTGGCATCAACCAGTCTGAATGAGTTGGCTGCAGTCAATCAGAACTACTGTTGATCATGACCAAACAGCAGGGCGGCCCCTGTGTGAGTCCTGGCGGGATGACAGCCTAACTAACTGGGAGGTATTAAAAAGGTGCCACCAGATTTCTCAGAAAATATAGTTTCTGTATTAGTTTCCTAGGGCTGCCATAACAATGTACCACAAACTGCGTGGCTTAAAACACAGAAATTTATTCTCTCACAGTTCTGGAAGTTGGAAGTTGGAAATCAGGGTGTCAGCAGGGCCATGCTCCCTCCAAAGTCTCTAGAGAAGAATCTTCCTGTGCCTTTTCTAGCTTCTGGGTAGTTGATGGCAATCCTTGGCATTCTTTGGCTTGTAGTAGCCAAATTTCCCTCTTCTTATAACTACACCAGTCATATTGGATTTAGGGTCTAGTCTATTCCAGTATGATCTCATATTAACTTGATTACATCTGCACAGACCCTATTTCCAAATAAGGTCACCAACAAAGTTCCCGGTGGACATGAAATTTGGGAGGATACAATCAACCCAGGATAGTTACCTAATATCAAATGCTCTTACATAGTTGTCATGACACAAATTTTTAAAAATACTCAGTATTAAATAGCTCACAAACACTCTAAAATTGTCTTATTTTATAGTTAAAAACTGGATATTTTAATCTTAGTAAAAGTATTTAAGTAAATTATGAATTTTTTAGTTTGGATGCTATTTTGTATTTTTTTTTTTACTACGTCAAATTAAGTAACCATGTTTTTCTTAATTATAATTATTTTAATTCTGTTAAAATATGAATGTTAGTGTGACATTTTGGTGGAGAATTAATAATATTCATTGATATGTGAGTATGTTTGTGCATGACAAGTTATTACATTTTTACACAACTTCATTAAGTTCAAACAAGTTTTGCCTTAAAAAAAATGAAACTTACCACAATTAGATGAACATCATCCATTAGTGTATTTAACAGCAAGTATAAAAAACAGAAGAGAAATGCAACTGGTGAAGGGCTTCGAAATCATATCTTACAACAAACATTTGAAAATGGTGGTAATTGTCTTCAACTCTTTGAATAATGGCTCTGTGGAAAAGAGTTTAGACTCCAGAGGGCAGAACTAGAACCAGTGAATTAAGGTTAAAGGGAAATATTTTAGTGCAATGTAGAACTAAACTTTCTCAATGAACAATGTGTCATATGCCAAAATGGAGGTGGTAGTCATGTAAGGGAGTGAAGTGCAGGTTCCTGGAAGTGCTTAGGAAGGTGCTGAATGATTACCTCTCTGGGACCTTTTAATGGAGATCTTCCCTTGAACAAGAAATTGAAATAGAGGGTCCCTTCTAGCTTCAAGATGCATGTCCTCCTAAAATTTCTATTTCTGTATATGCCATGAACATCAGTATTAATTATGTGACAAGATATTTCTATAAGTTTAGATATTTTTAAACAGATGCCAACCCATTGTGTTCTATGAATTCTATGCTTTGAAATGCTTGGGGAATAAAAGGGATTTAATCTAAGAGAAGAGGAAACATCATTAATAGGTATGAAAAGTAGGGGATTAAATTTTCTAATTATTGAGTACCTACTATGTACAGGGGTATTGGATGAGTTTCTTTATCCATATTATCTCATTTAATATACTTAGTTTTTCATTGCTCGGTTTGGAACTTACGAGATGCTGTAGATCTTAGAATGATGAGTTCTTACAGTAACTGGCATTTTCTTATGTATTGTTTGGTGATGGAACACAGGACTGTTCTGATGGCTACATGTGCAAAACACAGTTTCAACTTAAAAATGGGACTGCAGTGTCACATCGAGGAACATCTGCCTGTGTACAAACATGTCTTCCCATGGAGGTGAGTGATTTAACATGTCATGTTTTCCTTTTCAGTCTTTGTAAAGTATAAAGTAAAAATTTAAATCTGATAAATAATATATTTTAAAAATTAACTGCCATCAGATCCTGGACCTGCTATAGGGGGAGAAGTGAACATCATTTGTAGGAGGTTATTTTCTATAATATTGAGAGCAGGAACTGTGGTAAAGTTAAGATTTACTCCGGATCTATACAGATTGTAGTAAGCCTTCACCCTTTTGGTTTCTCTTGCATCTAAAGACCACAGATGCCTTCCGTTGCCTGTTGATTTTTTCCCAGTAAAATCCCACCAGGATAATACAGGCCTATACCTCAGCTGCTTAATACCTGGATGGAGATCTCTTTACCTAGTCTGCCTTTAATTTTTCTCCTGTGTCCTTTAAAATATGCTAGATCTGGGTCTCATTCCTTAGGCAACTTTAACCTTGACTTGAAAATCTTGCTAAATTAAAATTTAATAAGGTGCTAATAACGGCTTAATGGTTTTCTGGGATATTTTCAATTTTCTTTTTATCAAAATGCAAATAGCCTTATTGTACTTTATATTGTTAATAAAATTTTTTATATATCTATTGTAAAAATAAACAGTAGAGAAATATATTAAAAGAGTAAAAAAACTCCCATATGTCCTTCAACTGGAGGTAACCACTATTAATATTTTAGTAAGTATCCTTATACATATTTCTGTCATACACACACATACATACTTGTGTTCTGCAATGAACAAGCATAGCATGGGTATCTTTTCATGTCAGTAGATGTAGATATCCATAGTTCTTTTTTAATATCTCCATTGCATTCCATCCTATGGATGCACCATAATTATGTGGAACCCATATTGAAGTAAAATACTTGAATTTTAAAATTGAGGGGCTTCCTTGGTGGCGCAGTGGTTGAGAGTCCGCCTGCCGATGCAGGGGACACGGGTTCGTGCCCCAGTCCAGGAAGATCCCGCATGCTGCGGAGCAGCTGGGCCCGTGAGTCATGGCCGCTGAGCCTGCGCGCCCGGAGCCTGTGCTCCGCAACAGGAGAGGCCACAACAGTGAGAGGCCTGCGTACCGAAAAAAAAAAAAAAGAAAATTGAATCGGTGGGAATCTAATTGCTTTAACATAAAGAAAGAACTCTAATGCTTAGAATTCTGAGTATCCTGGTAAAATGGGAAAGGAGACTTTTTTGTGAAGGAAGAGTCCTTTCTTAGGACCTGTTAAATCAGTCCCCTTGGACAGTCCAGCACTAACTCCCTCTGCCTGTGTATGATGCTGGCCTGGAAGTAACTCTCGCCTGTACAGTTTAGTTTGCAAGTTATTCCTGAGGGTAGGTAATAAGGTAAGTGCCCCCGAGTAGGTGTTCAAATCTTGATTACTGTTTCCTGGTTCAAGTAACCAACATCCTATCTGAAGCCAAGCATGTTGGGAAGCTTTTCAGTTCATTATATATTAGCTTTAAAAAATGCACATGGAGATGATGATTTAAGAGATAAATTACTAGTTTTTGCCTAACAAGTTGTCAGACATTTGAAAAGCACTAAAAAGTGGTGTTGACAGTGTGAGGGAACTGACACTTTCTGGTTGATGTTTTAACTTTACAAAGTTTGAAGATGTGCACATACTATGAACAGTCTATTCCAATTCTAGGAATTTAGCTTCATAAAATATATTTTTTCAACATTTTTTATTTTCAACATTTCCCAACAAATTTCAAACACATATGAAAAAGTTGAAAGAATTTTGCAATGAACATCCATGTACTCATCACCTGGATTCTACCATTAACATTTTGCTGTGCTTGCTGTATTACATATCCATCCCTGATTCATGTATCAATACATCTTCTTTTTTGATGCAGTACTTTTACATCAAAGTAAATTGCAGACAAATACTTATAAAATAATCAGAAATGTACACAAAGTTTTACATGCAAGTATATTCATTTTACCGTTATTTATAATAGGAAAAATAGAAACTAAAATGTTCAACAGCAGTGGATTAGTTACTTACAGCACATGTTTGTGATGGAGTTTGTGATTCAGTAGGTTTGGACTGGGGCCTGAGAATTTGCAATTCTAAGTTCCCATGTTATGCTGATGCTGCTGGTACAGGGACCACCACACTTTGAGAAACCACTGCAGTACTTTATAATACAATTCTTAGCATATTTGAGATGGTGTACAGCTGAGATGGTTAGCTAATATGATGTATGGTAGAGTTGATATTGCAATAATCTTGATGAGATAAAAAATGTCTTAGGTTGAGCCTGATATGGAGATTCCTGTTAAAGTGACTTATTAGGGATGTGTTCTTAGGAGAAAAAGAGTGCCAGAAGCAGGACAGAACAAGGGATAAAAGCTAAGGAAGATTGTGGTCTCACTAGAGACTAACTTTAGTCTGATCTCCTTGAAGCTCTGGAGTACAGATACCCAGAATTAGTCCTACTTTGTGTCCTTGAGGCTGACCTTTTGTACTCTGTAAGTTATTGGTTTGTCAGTCAATCACTGGCTGACGTAGAGATAGACATAGCTTCCCAAGCAAGATGGCTCCAGTATTACTGAGAAATTCTTCAGAGAAGGGGGCTGCTGTGTGTTATCAGCCAACAATTACACCGGCCTTAAGGGGACCTGGGTAGGGCACCAACAGCGTCTACTACCAAAGGGTAATCTGAAGCCAACAAAATGGCAGCTGTAGGGGAATTTATGTATAAGGTCTGCATTGACATGACAGAAATTTGTTTGAGAAAGAGCGAGTGATTTTAGTTGACCATAAGCTCAAGATAAGTGAGAAGAATGCCATGGATGCTAGAGAAAATAACTGGAACCTAAGCTACACTAATGAAAGCATTTATAAATGGATTCCAAATATTGACTGGGGACCCCTGGAGGGTCCCTGAAAGAGGGGCCCCTGGAGGGACCCCTTTCAAGGGGTCCACAAGGTCAAAACTATTTAACAATATTAAAGTATTATTTACATTTTTACTTCCATTCTCCCCGAGTTTTCCAGAGGCTACTATGTGTGATATTGCAACAGAATGAATGCAGAAATAGTTATAGGAATCCAGTTGTCTTTAATTGAGTCAGACATTAAAAATATTTGCAAAATGTAAAACAATACTGCTTTACTTACTCATTTATGTTATTTTGGAAAACATTTATTTTTCATAGAAATTTGCTGTTATATTGCTATGTATTTTTAAAGTGAATTAACAAATTTTTTAAAAAATTCAATTTTAATTTCTAATATAGTAAATATCCATATATATAACTCTCAAACAAAAGTTCCTTGGAATCCTCAATGAATTTTAAAAGTATAAAGGAGTACTGAGACCAGAAAGTTTAAAAATCACTGATCTAAAGGAAATATTACATTATTACATGTGAAGAGCAACATTGATAGCTAGAATGCATAATGAATGAATCCATAAATAATAGCTGAAAATAAATCATAAGTAGGGTTTATCCATTCAAAGAAGCATGCCATGGGTGGGCTTGAAAATATATTATTATGAGGACTATTTGGGAGCTCTGAAGACCTAGGAAGGTTAGTTGTCTTAAGATATCTAGAAGGCTTTCCTGTGGAAGACAGAGTAGACTCATTTTGTTTCTGAGGATAGAATTAGTTTGTGTCTGGAAATTATTCTAGACAAGTCTCTCTACTGTCTAGAGTTGCCTACAGTGAAATTGGTCAACTTGCAAAGTTGTGAGTTCCCTTCCCTTTCATGGAGATGTTCAGCCACAGAGTAGATAGCCCTTTCTCCATAACAGTAGCCACTGATGGAAATGTTCAGATGCTTCAAGCACCAGGCAGATGATGAGTGAGTGAAGCGGGGTGATGGGGAGTGGTGGGAGCCGTGGAGAAGTGGAGAGGGAATGGCTCATCCAAAGGGGTAGTAGAAATGCAGCTCCAGGTGGGTTTAATTGAAAAACAAACAAACTGTGCAGGCCAAATAAACTATGTGTATGGGTTCAAATGGTCCTTAGGCCACCAGTTTATAACCTAGTTATAACCAGTCCTGCATTGTGTAGAAGACTGAGCCAGGGGACCTCTGAATTCTCTTTAGAATTTAAAGCCTGATCCATATCTGTATATCACATTTCCTATTTATTTGAAAGAATGCCTCTACTAATAGTTGCTTTAAAAAGATTTTTTTAAAAATTGGCCATGTATGAAGTGCGAAGTCAACTCACTTCTTTGTCCTAACCAGAACCGGCAGTCTTGACTGTAGAAGGGTAGCTGGATTCATGATTTTTATGCCTGTGAGTTTAAACCTTTAATAAACAGGATTTTAAAAATCAAAGTGAAATATAATGGAATATATAAGTGAAGTAATTTGTGAAAATCATAAACTATGTCTTTTTTGAATTTTTAAAATATAATTTAAAATGATACTTGAAAGAGTGAGATGATATTCAGAAATCTACTAAATATATTGGGGTAACTTAGTTCTAGTTTTGGGGAGCAGGAGTTCTTATAGGTTAATCATTAGATAAGACATTTATTGTTGAGAGTAGTTTATATGATTTGCTTGTGACATTTCTGAGTTTGTGAAATAACAAGACTGTGGCAATTTTTGAACAAGATCTTTTCTTTACCAGTGACCAAGAGAAATTCATTGCCTCAATTTAAAATCTTATAAATGTAAGTGAATATTTTCAACAGGAGCCAACATAATCAACACTGGTTCTTGAATATCTTATTATATGTAACACTAATTTCTTTTTTTTTAAATTTTTATTTATTTATTTATTTATTTATGGCTGTGTTGGGTCTTCGTTGCTGCACACGGGCTTTCTCTAGTTGTGGCGAGCAGGGACTACTCTGTTGCGGTGCATGGGCCTCTCACTGCAATGGCTTCTCTTGTTGCGGAGTACAGGCTCTAGGCACACGGGCTTCAGTAGTTGTGGCATGCAGGCTCAGTAGTTGTGGCTCATGGGCTCTAGAGTGCAGGCTCAGTAGTTGTGGCACACGGGCTTCGTTGCTCTGCGGCAT